AAGAGAGGCATTGAGTGGCAATCATGTTTGGTCTATAGACTACTTTTAGCATGTCTCTCCCACCCTGGGAGGGTCTTCACAACACCCTTTATTTGGTGCTCTCTTCTCTATCTGAGCTTCCTTTTCACCAGCACATGTGGCTGGCTTTCAAGTCATGGAGCAAAATTCCTGGTACTAATCTGAGCCATTCCTGGGTGTTAGTCTCCCGTTTTGTTGCTTTATGTTCCCCCAGATGAATGCAATCTTTCTGTGTCTATCCCGCTCTTTCTGACTCATTTTGCTTAACATGATACTTTCCATGTAGTACCACTTGAATGTAAATTTCATAACTTCATCTTTTCTAACAGCTACATAGTACTCCATTGTGTAGATGTACCAAAGTTTCTTTAACCAGTCATCTGTTCTCGGGCACTCAGGTTTTTTCCAGATTCTGGCTATTGTAAAGAGTGCTGCAATGAACAAACAATTGCAGATGTCACAGAAGTGATTCTTGAGCTCAGAGCCTGAAGTCCTGAGCACCACTAGGTTTATCCCAGCCTTGTCCCACTCCTGGCAAGTTCACATATTACTTAGTTCTAATGATAATGGTTAAATAATCTAATTCACATATTAGATTTGAATATAAGTCACTTGTCACTTGTCATGTCACTTGTCATCCTGTTGATCTTCGATTTGCTCAAGCAGGTGCCAGTAACGTCTCCATTTGTCCCTGTCGCGTGCTAGTGTAGCCCAATGGCATCTGCTCACTCCAGGAACATGAAGAGCCTCAAACCGTTTGTTCAGGGTTTTGAAGAAGTTGCCTGACTGTTGTATACTCTTTTACTATTGAATACAAGTATTCAATAGTAAAAGAGGTATACTAATGTTTAATATAAAAAATTGGGGGGGGGGAGTGTGACAGGACTCAGGAGGCCCTGGGGTCCTTCTGGCAATTCTTGGCCAATGGACTAGTGGGGAGACAAAGGAATAAACCAAGCTCAAGTGCACAAACCTTAACCTGTGTACTACCTCCATCCCTCCCACCCTCTTCCCTCCCTCCCTATCTTCTCTCTCTCTCTCTTTCTCTCCCCTATAATACAGCTTCAAATCTAAAACTCTTAGCAGTCATAATTTTATAGATAGGAAGGTGAGACCCAGGAAGGTTACTACTTTGCTAAAGTCAGTTTTGTTTCTGTTCTCTGTTCAAAGTCAGTTCAGATCTCTCTTCTCTTCACTTTGAAGCCACAACTCCTTAACACCCACGGACTGTGGCTGAAAAATTGTGTTGATTACAGACCTTGTACACTTTTAAAACCAGATGATACACTCCCACATATTTTGCTATTGCTGTGGGGGCCGTACCCAGCAGCGCTGGAAGGAGTGAGAGGGGTCCCAGATACATGGCATGTGCTCTTCACCTAAGCCACACTTAACCTCTTCTGCCCACTCTTATGCCTATTTCAAATAGGGATGAAAAGCAAAAGCTTGACAATGAAAGTGACTTTGCCAAGGCTGACATGAACAAAATTTAATCTCTGGGCAAAGGATGCCATCCAGTAGGCTATACTTATCTACCCCAATCACTGTTGATTTAGTAAAACTGGCAAATCATCATGGCAGGGTTTGCAAGATCATTAATCAATCTAGTCAACAAATGTTTGTTGAGTACTTCCATAAGAAGGTGGGCACTGTTTCTGGGTCAGAGATGCGGTGAAGAATACATTTACTTGATATCCATTCTAAGTTTGTGTGAGCTTTCAGAACACTAAATCTAGTTTACCTGGCGGGGTTGAGCAGAGAGTGATCCATCAGTGGATGTTTGAGGTGGGTGGAGGGAGGTGTGATCAGATACAGGACAGTACCAGAGTAAAAGGAGACAGTGGCTTTCAGACAGTGTAACCAGAATCCAGCACAGGCTCAAAGCACAGAGAGCTGAGTGAGAGAGGCATTTCCGATGAAAAGAGACTATCAGAGGAATAAGGAGTCACATCCAGTGGTATCAAATAGAAAATGCTCATCTCGTGCTCACTTCCTTGCCTGTCTTCACACTAGATTTTTTAGGTGGAGGAGTTCTTTTGTTTATTTATTTACCAAATTCCCTGCATACATCAGTGTAAGCTGGGGATGGAGTCCAGGAGGCTTTTAGTGCCGCGGAGGACATGTGAGAACACTAAGGGGAAAGCTTCTCCAGTGAGGTAACTTTCAAATGAGTTTTGGCAAGAAGTGGAACTTGGGTAGTGTCTGCCAGAAATAGATGGTTGGTTCTGACTGAATCTATGAAGTCTTAGCTTTGAACCAAATATTAGAATCTCTCTCCTCATGGAGACCTGTATCTGTATTGTGGAAGCTTAGGAATGTATCTGGGGGTGGGACCTGGAATTAAATCTGGTAGACTAGGGAGGGCTTAGATATGCAGAAATCAGACCTGGAGAGCAGGATAGTGGGTCTCTACTAGAGTCCTCTAAAGTGAGGGGTTTTGTACCTGCCATGTTTTTGATTAAGAGTTTCCATAGTCTGCCATGGGGTTGAAGATGCAATAATTTTATCAAAAGTAATTATCATATGTGTCTATTGCTCTGCTATATAGTGATAATTAAAAGTTATTTGTCCTGAATGTTTATCTGCAGGAGAGATCATTCATGTGTCCATCTATTCACTACTTAGAGTTGAGGTATTTGGTACCTCCATCATGGTGTGATAGATTAAGGAAGACCCCAAATAATCCACATATGATTTGGGCATTAACAACTTATTGACTACAAAAAAAATCTGTTAAGTTTTCTATCATCTTTGGTCATAATGATATATGTGAAGATTCAGAGGTACAAAACCAGCCCTACAACTCAACCGCAGGAGAATTTAAACACCAGTCAATGGGTCTGGATTCCATTCCAAGGCTGCATGAGAACTCCTGAAGCTTCGTGTATAAACCTTTGCCTATAAGAAGGTTTTTATTCATCTATTTTAACTTGATGGACTCAGGAAATTGGTCGAAGCTGTCAAAAACAACAGCAAAACCACTGCTGAGAATGTTTGCTGGGGGGATTTGGGGGTGGGGGAGAATGTGAGAACATTTTCTCAGGTCATCCCAGGAAAGGGAAAGAATCTCCCTGTCAGTCTGTTAGGTACCGTTTAGCCCTCTGCACACCCCCCCCTACCCCCCCCTCAACACACACACCCTTATTTTTGGCAAGTTGCTGGAAAGGATCATCAGAGTTTCAAAGCACAATATTATATTTCCAATTAAAATGTAAAAATAAACCTTTTTTTCATGAAACATATTGGCCTCAGCACCGAGAAGGAACTACAAAGCCCCGCACTGATTGAGAAAAGCTGAAAGCAGACACTGTAATTGATAAAGGAGATAAGTCAATCTGTGTCCTTTAAAGAATAATGAGTTCCATTTTTCATCCAAAAGATCTCCTGGTGCAGAAGAAACGTTCTTTCAATAAATCTACCTAATGGTTTCCCCTCCTGTGATATATAGTATTGAGCTTTGGAAGGGAGCAGGCCCTTGCCACCCATCATTTGCATTGCTAATGAAGTCCCAAGAAAACTCCAAGGGCTCCCAGGAAGTGTTGCTGTTGCAGGAAAATATCCCCCCTGGACTTTGCATGTGGGTTGATGGGATGAAATTTTGAATCAAGACTCTATCACTCAACAGGAGCTCCTACGCAAGGTGACAGCCCCCCAACCCCCACCCATCCTGGGCTCTTTGGGACCACATCTGCCGCTCTGAGAATGACTCCTGACAGCTAGCTCAAGAGTTAAATGCTTCAGATACTTAAGTTGTGAGAACTGATTAAGTTTGTTTGTTCCCTGAGCTCATCACTCTCCCACAGGCCTGGAGGCCTTGGTGTGATTTGGTCTCTGGCCTGTGAGAGGTGGTCTGTGTTTATTGCATTTGGTAAAGGGACTCTCAGCTTTCATGATCCTGCCCGAGGCCTGCCCACCTGCCCCTGGCGGGGTCTCAGCCTCAGAGGGTGAAGGCGGTAGGGCGAAAAGGCACTAGTCTCCCTACAACATTCCAAAGGAATGATTTAGAGCACACGGGGCATTGGACAGTAAGACTTCATTCTTCCTTTGAGCTTACCTTTGTGAACCTCCGAGTTAGTTACCCAGGGTGTTACGATTTCCACAAAGTTCCCCCAGCTTTCTGTAACCAAACCTAATTCCTCCAAGGGCACCCAGCCTTCCCCGTCCTGGCTGACTTCCCCACATGGGAATCATTAAAAACAACCCCCAAGTTATTTCCTTATGTTGCTGTTTGTTTATTCTCCACTCGCGTGTGAGTCAGCCAGATCATGATTTGCAGTGGTTTGGCTTGTGAAATCTTACATAATTCTATTCCTATTGTCGCGTTGGGTCGAGCAGTTAGATCATATAGTGTTTTCTCATTGCACAATGTTTGCCAATCAATACGGAGAAAGCCTGAACAATGAGATGACGTTGGCGGGTCAGGAACTCAGCTCCTGGTCCCGTCACCCTCGAGGCCACTCTGCAGATTCACAGATATAGCCTGTGTCATGTGGCACCCAGGCCTTTCCTAATGCTCCTGCTAGGCAGGATGACAAGGCCGGTCGGCGGTGGCCTTGGGGACGAGTTTCACTAAGGTGACATTTAAGAGAGCAAGGGAATGAAAGAACAACAACGACAACATTTCACACAGAAACCAACCAATTTTTTTTTTTTTTTTTTTTTTTAACTGCATTTGCTACACACTGGATTTCAACATGCTGGTCCAGAATGTGGCTGGCGACAAGCTGGTAAGACTTTGACAGCTCCTCCGACGGATTTCCCCTTTCTCACCATGTACATGATTTCTTTTGCTCCTAACTCACCGTCCCCAGGCCAGAGGCAGTTATTGGAAACCCTCTTGATGCACAGTGAGTGGCTACAACACACAAATGGGGGTGAATGTGACATCCACAACAGAACGTGGAATCCAGAGAAATGGTTCAGGGAGGCAAGACGCCTCCTTCACGGGCAGGAATATGATGGCACTCAAAACCCACAAGTGCTTTTTTTTCTTTTCTTTTTTTTTTTTTAATTCCCAGAATATACTGAAACTAGTTGCGCCTGACATTATTTCTTATTTCCATCAAATACCTGACCTGATTTCAAGCATGTTTGTTTGGATGTGTCTTTTGAGTAGCGCATCTTGAAGTTATTCATACTGATATAGGATGAAGATTACAAAGATCTGCATAAAAAGAGAAACTGTGACTCTATATGAAGACAACGACCATCACATTCCACAGCACATCTTGGTTAATTTTTTGAATCATCAAGCATTATTTAAAACAAGAGGAAGGGGAAAGAGAAAGAGAGAGGAGGGAGAAGATAACCAAACACAAGTGCCACGAGGAAACAATCATAACAACAGAACCAAACCCAAGTTCTCTATTAATCATTGAAAAATTTTAACTCTGTTTCTAACACTTTTCATTAATTGTTATTTTAAGCTCCAGTAGCAGGATCAGATTTCGGCTGCCTCTGGGCAAATGAGTTATGATCTGATCTCAAGTTCCAAGGGAAAAAGCTCAGAGTTTTATTTTTCCCCAGTTGAATAAACAGTCCTATGTATATTATCTCTTGTGTTAGAATAGTGTTGTCTTCACATAAGACTCAAATAATGGTATTAGTCATTCATTTCCTTGAACACAGACACCCTCATGCGTGCTGACAGGTTTATAAGGATGCGGTGGCAGCTGGGGTTCTGGGAGCTGCTAGATGACCGGCTTTGATTTCTTGCAGTCCTGAGCGATGGGGCCCGGGTGTGCCTGCTTAGTGTCCGCATTCTCCCCCAGATGCGGGGCTTGTCTGGAAGATTAATACATTGACAAGAGCTGAAGGTCCAGGGTTGCACATCTTCAGACATGTTTATTAGCAGATGGCACACAGGATTCAAAGGTCACCATCAAAGTGACATTTTAAAGTGAAACAACAATATTTATGTTCAGATAGTCTACGGATGAGATCATGTGGAAATGGTTTTGATTAAATTAGCTTATAAATGGTTGCCAATCTATAGACGATTTAACATGCTATGTCTACTTGTGAAAATTTCACATTTCTCACACTCTCGCCTTCTAAATATCGCTGACCACGAGCCTGTTTTAGGGGATCTGTTTAAGTGTAACATTAGTTAAATATCGGGGGTACTTTCCTAGGCTAATGATTTTTTTAAATTGTAAAAAGTTCCCCATGCAGGTTGTGAAGCCTCACCTGTTCTTATATCTGTTTTAAAAGAGTTTGGAATCTACAATGAAGGTCCCTACTTGGAATCCACAATTGCTTTGGATTTTAGGAGAAAGTGAATCTTGGGAGAGACCTCCAACCCCAGGCTCTTAGATAAGACCTTAGACTCTGATCTTATGAAAACAAAACCCAGGAGCTGGATTTCAGAAATAAGGATTTTAGCTGTGTTTCACCTTTGTAACCCTTGGAGCGCACTTTGGACTAATCTGTGCCTGTGTTTCATGGAACAGTGTACAAAAGAAAATGCAATTGGGGAGGGAGAGCCTGCCCCTCCACTCCTAGGCCCATAGGTTCACAAACATGTGAGTGAAGAGTTTTACCTCAGAAAAATGGTTTGGCCAGAGAATGCTCAACAGCACAGAGTGAAAAAACAATCTTTTGTTAACATTTCAAGTCTCTCTAGTCCACAAAGCACACACATGTCCAACAAAGGCCTGGAAATCCCAAAGGAACATCAGAAAGTAGCTAAAACATGCAAATACATATGGGAAAAAAGAAGATAACTATACGCATTAGTTCTCATTTATTCAGTTAATTGTATAATGAATGGTTTTGTAAGTGGTAGCTATTTTTGTCTTGATTTTTTTAAACCCTACAATCTGAATCTTATTTCTGGGACATTTACAACATCATCCTTGGAAGAATATGACAGAAAATGTACTCACTTTTCAAGAGAACCCTTTTCAATATTCATGGCGCCTTCCATTGGATCCAGTCCTTGTTCAGAAAATTGTTTCAAGGCACTTAAAGCTGCCTGAAAGTGAACACAAACACACAAACAGGAGACGCATTCATTGACTTCAGTGTCATAAACAGGTAATTGTAAAAACAGAAAAAAGCTGAGATACATAACAGAGACTATAATTTTCTTTCTTTCTTTGTGTGTGCGCGCGTGTGTGTGTGTGTGTGAGAGAGAGAGAGAGAGAGAGAGAGAGAGAGAGAGAGAGCGCAGAGGGGTTGCAAATAGTGCTTAGGATTCCCTAGGGGCCTTCCACTGATTCTCAGCCAACTGGTCAGTGGGTCAAAACCAGGGCCCTGTGATGGCCGGGGTTCAGGGATTTCCCGGGTCACTCCAGCAACCTCCAGGGCTGTCCAGTGGTGCTCAGGGGACCATGGGGTGCTGAGGAACCAAACCAGGGTCAGTCACATGCAAGGTGGATACTATCTCCCCGCTGGGAACGACAATCTTTACCACTAGTTAAAATAAAGACTTTGGAGTGGAGTGGGGTGGGGCATCTTTGAGCCAAAAGACATTTGAAAAGCTGTACTATCATGGGCCCAAGTAGATATCATGAGTCCTTCATTTTTTAGTGACTGGGAGGTGGGGTGGGGGGGACATGCAGGGGTAGGAGCCCCACCCGTCTCAGGCCTTAGCCCTTCTTCATGCTTTTGTGAAATCACATGTTTTATCTGCAAATGGGGTATCTCAGACTTGGACAATAACTTTGCATCCTCCTGTGCCGGAAACTAAAGTGCCTCTTTCCAGTGGGAGCATAAAGGCGAGATTCCAGTCCCTGACACAGTACCCCCAGCAGATGCAAGGGGGTCTGGGGGGGAGGGTGCAGAGGGCTGGGGAAGCCACGGCTGGGCAGAGGAGCTGATAGGCCGCTGGTGCGTGGGATGCTGAAGGCTGTTGACAGGCCGGTGGAGCCTGGTTGGATAGCTGGGAGGCACCAAAAATGCACCGCTGATAAGATCTACATAACTTGTTGACACTCCCGTGCACGTTCCAAACTGGTTTTTTCTTAAAATAAGAATTTATTCTCCTCCCTGCCGCCCCTCACTCCACCCCCACATTCTCGCCCCCCTTCGAAGGGCTTTTGTGGAGTCTAGGAGAGGTGTGAGCAGTCAGGGTTGGGGTTGAATCTCAGAAGTGCCCCCCTGGGTCACACTCGGGTCGCCTGTATCTTCTCAATGGCCTTTGAAAAGGAACAAATTCTTGCTTTTTCCCCAACTTCTATCTGCTTGTGCCCCTTCCTTCTGGGGAGCTGATAGATAATGATGGATCTCTTTCACATTTTCTTTTTCTGTAAAATTTTTGTTGTTGCTGTTGTTTGGAGGACCATGTCCAAGAGATGCTCTGGGGAATTCCTGGAGGTGCTAGTCTCTGACCCTTACATTTAAAGAAAATATTATATAATTTATCTTGTGATTTTGAAGTTCAAAATAATAGATGTCTTAAAAGTAGTTTTCAGAGACAGTAGATCAGAGTTCCTATAGACCTCCCCCTTCCCTACGTAGTTCTTTATAAACATCTTGCATTACTTACATTTGCAACAACTGATCAGTCACTATCAATCTATTGTCAGTAAAGTTCACAGTTCCTTTTAGATTTTCCTTTTTAAATTTCTTTGGTTTTCAAATTATTTTGGCACTGCTAGGGAGGGATGGAGCCCAGGTCTCATACATGCAAGGTAAACACTACAATGAGCTGATTCCCAGCCCTGGTATCCACCCTTAGTGCTGTGCCTTCTGTAAGGGCTGAGAAGGTATCCACCATTACAATATCTACAGGATCACACAGAGTCATTTCTCTGCCCTAAAATTTCCTTGTATCCACCTGTTGATTCTCCTACTCTCTAGTACAAACCCAGCAGCCCTGAGCTCTTGGCAGTCTCCGTGGTATTGTCTTTCCAGGAAGTCTCAGAGTTGGAACCACATAATGTATAATCTTTCCAAGAATCTTCTTTCTCTGAGCCATGTATAGGTTCCCTCATGTCATTTCATCACTTGAAAGCTCATCTATTTTCCTGACTGAGAATACCCTATGGAATAAATATGCCACCCCTCCCCAATCACCAAAGGTGGGACAATCAGCTCACATTCCAATTCCTGGTGATTATGAATAAGCTATTAAGACACATCCTTGGGAAGAGTGTTGTGTAGCTGACATAGTGTTGTCAGTTTTTTCCTCTCCTTCACTCTTGGTCTAGCTTTTGACTTTCAGTATCAACTGAGAGTATCAACACCTCCTTCTCTTTTCCTTTAGACCCCTCTTGCCTTTTGGCTCTTTAATTGGTCTCGAGATCAGCAGGGCTAATCTGATGCCCCCCACGTGTGTGCAGGCCTGGCCTAGGCAGGGGGGAGGTCCTGCATAGGTTCTTTCCCCCCTGTTATCTGGAATGGGTTGTGGTGAGAGGTTAGCTCTCACCTCAGTTGAGTAAGAACAGTGTTGCTGAATGCATAGAATTCTGTTCCTGCACCTTCCTCATCACAATTAATTTGTTGACACTAAACCCCACTGCCTCTGAACGTGCCATATTTTGGAACCAGGATAAGAGACACAGTTAATCAAGATGAAGTCATACTGGGTTTGGGTGGGTCCCTCAAATAAACAAATATCCCTATAAAAATGTGGAAAATGTAGACACAGAAGAGACAGAGAGGAGAACACCATGTGAAGAGGAAGGCAGAGAATGACGGGGTACCTCTGAAGCCAAGGAATACCACAGCACCAGCAAGGCCCAGAAACTAGGAAAGTGCAGTGGGTTATTTAGTCCATAAAAGGAATCAATCCTGCCAGCACCTTGATCTTAAACCTTAAGTCTCCAAAAAATGAGAAAATACATTGCTGTTAATCAAGTACCCATTTGTGGTACTTTGTTACAGCAACCCTAAGAAACCATTAGAAATGCATCATAATTCAGTTCTTCACTAAATATAGCAAACTTTCTATCTCTCTCTTTAGTACTTTCTTTCATTATTTTTTTGAGGTGCTGGGAATTAAGATAAAATTAATTTTGATATCTTTTCATTGTTAAAATTTTTTTCTCACTCTGGTTGAGGGTGATGGTGTGGGAATGTTATATGCATGAAACCCTATCACTAACAATACTGTAAATTATGGTGCTTTGAATTAAAAAATGATAAAATAACATTCAATAACTAAAATCAGCATTTACAGAAAAATCATAATATAGGGAAATACAAACTAAAAATATTCGTGGTCCCACCCACCATTTGCCACTTGGTATATGTCTTCCCATATCTTTTCTGTCCCCTCCGCATAGCCATACACTCTTATTTATTTCGTGGGGAGTGCATTTGGTCATACGTGGCAGTGGTTTGGGTGACTGGCTGCATGTAAGCAAGTGACTTAACCCCTAAACTAATTTTTCAGCCTCTTCTCATCATACGTAGGCCACATCCCAGCACGGTTCTGTAATGCTCTTTTCACTGACAGGAGACTTGCTCCCAAGTACACCCTCTCTGTAACCTCTGCTTGTAGCCAGGGCCTACCAATAGACATCGAGTCCTTTTTTGTTTGTTTGTTTCGTTTGTGGTGCTGGGAATTGAACCCAATGCCTCACACATGTGAGGCAGATGTTCTAGCCCAGAATCACAGTCCTGGTCTCCCCCTTCTGATTTTTAGGCTATTAACAATGTGCGAGGTTTCTGAATTGTTCAGTCTTTTGGACCACCTCAATCATTTCCCTATGGAGAACTAGCACTCCCTATGGAGTTAAGACCCTTGCATGTTACTAGGCCTAGTTCAATTCTTGGCACCTGCATAATGTCCTCCCACTGAGTACCTTGGGAGCAATCCTCAAGCCAACCTGAGCACTACCACGTGTGGCCCCCAACTCCCTAATAATATTAATAATAATAATAATAAATAATAATTTATTGACAATAATCCCTAGGCTGAGTATTTGTGCCAGGGATGACACATATATATATTTTTTCATTTTGGGTCACACCTGGCACAGGGGTTCCTCCTGGCTCTGCACTCAGGAATTACTCCTGGCAGTGCTCAGGGGACCATATGGGAAGCTGGGAATCAAACTAGGGTCAGTCGCATGCAAGGCAAACGCTCTACCTACTGTACTATTGCTCCAGCCCCATGACATACATTTTTGAAGACATCAAATCCATTTTCTACCTGCCTTCAGGTAGGGAGGGGCCTGCAACAGTCTGAGAAGCACATGCTTTTCAGGGTATCTGCAAAGTCACCCTAGGAATCACGGGGTAGGGGGGATCCTGCGAGTGAGCCTGTTCTGTCATTTAATGGTCACACCTTATTTTTAACATGTCCATCCTAATCACTTGCCTTATTCATGTGTCTTAGCTTTAAGTGCAGTGTGATTTCTTTCCAGCATTAAATCCACAGTGTTCTGAAAGACCCAAACTGGGACAAGTCTCATCCCCTGCAAAGAAATGCACGGAGAGATTTGACTACCACTGAGAGGCAGTAAGGGCGGCAATGCTGAGGTGGCTGGGCAGAGTGCCCAGGTGACTTAAGCGGAGAAGAGTCCCATGGGCGTGTACATTCCTGTGGGCTTGTTCCATAAACCCAAACTCTGAGTCTTGCCTTGCGTATGCGTGTGTGGAGCGAAGAGTCGGGCCCACTCACGGCTGTGCTCTGCAGACCAACCCCAGCTGACCTTTCTTGATAGCCCGACTTTAGGAAACCAGCTAATGGACTCAAAGGTCTTAGTAAATCAACAATTTCCAACAAATGCACAACAATTTTGCTTCAGTCTATTAGCCTATGAATAAGTGGGGGAAAAAAAACTTGTTTTTTCAAAATAGAGACCCAAAAAACAATTTCTTTCCAACTGAACTATTGCATAAGGTGAATCAGTGCCCAGAGTGTTGCCTTCTGATATCGATGGAGCTGATTCCTGGGAGCTCCTTGGGTCTGTTCAGACAGGGTGAAAATAACAATCCTGAAAATTGTTTTTAATCTTTAGAAGTCATTTTTAGGGGACCTGGAGATAATACAGCGGTTGGGGTGCTTGCCCAGAATGCATC